ATTGTACTTATATGGAACAACTAACTCAGCAAACCCTATAGAAGCTATTTGTAAGATAATGGTATTTAAAAACCATTATCTTATGAAGGCCTTCAGCCAAAAGCAATTAACATCTGACTGTTCTGATCATGGGAAAGATTTTTATTTGCTATTTTGAAGTCAGCAGGAAATGTATGAACATTCACTTTTAAGAAACTATAGGACAGTACTGTTATGAAAAATTTCCCTTCTCTGCCCATTCAGCCAAACACATGACCAGCCACTGCAGATCTGTTTGCTAGAGTTCAACAACAATGTTTTGGGGGGGGGGAAGAGGGGGAATTCTAACACTGGGAAGACTGGAGAACTGCATCTGCTTCTGAAGGCTCTCAAAAGATCTTTTCCCACCTCTTTTGTCCATATGCTAATTCCAGAAGCAGCTGCGCATGAGAAGGACAGGCTGGCTGGCATTTGACTTGCTAACGAAAGCTACATTCCATGTGCAAAGCAAAGACAGTTGGCAGATGGGAAGGGGAAAAGAAATAAGGTTCATGAAATATGCTAAAAGAAAAATATAGAGAGAGTTTCCTGGTAGTGAAATCAAATACCAGGATTTTATTAACCAATCGTCACTACTACAACCTTCAACGTCTAGACAGACAAGCAAAATTAATTTGCAAGAAGATACGGAAACATGCTTAGTACGGTGAATTTTTTAAAGGTTACAGGAGTGAGCAAAGTCTCTCTCTCTCTCTCTTGTTCTCCATCTGTCACAAATGCATCTTTGGAGGTTAACATTTATGAAAGTCTCCCCAATACGACACCCTAGAACTTGGGCTAAAAGTACCATAATCTTTAAACAGTTTGCTCATAAGAAGTATGATGTGACTGGAGTTATTTACACCTTGAGGATACTAGGTTGGGAAAGAAGACTTTATAAAAAAATATAGAGATCAAGTCTCCAACACAGCCTCAAAGCATGTCTCTCACACAGGTAATCAGAAATTGGACTTTGACCAAGCTAAATAACAAGTGACAACACAGATTTCTAACTTGGTTTTTTAAGCATTCAGGAAAGAATTTTAGGGTGTGTTTCACCATTTGTAGCTGTGAAGAGGCCTCCTTATGCAATGAGTAAAACAGGAACATGAAGATGAGTAGAAAAAAGATCCCAACAATATAGCTGTGGCCTGCTTTGGAAATATTTTTGTTGGCTTACTTTACATGCTTATTCTTCCAGAAGTGGTTGCCCACTATTTAGAACAAACAAGATAGATTTGGAGAGGAAGACAATGTCTTACTGTAAATATGGGATGGTTCTGCCAGGGGCGGTTCCATTGACAGCGCGGGAAAAAGGACAGGAGGCTGTTCTTTTCTAATGGAATTCAATTTACTGTATTGGTAAACAAACTCAACTCGGCTGGCTCAAAAGGATCCATTAAACTGAACTCCAGTAACAACTTATAACTTCAAACTCACGTGGTTATTTCTTTGTCCTTTCTTCTTACTGGGGGGCTGGCCCAAAGCACTCCCGGTCTGTCATAGGCCGAATCAGAGTGGTTCTGACCGCGCAGACTGTCCCACAACAGGGGTGTCTTGCCCAGTCCCCCTCCCGCTGGCTCTGGAGTAAAGAGGGACTGGGATGGATCACCCTCGTCCCCACACATTGGTTGCGGGGGTAAACCACCACAGTCCATTCCCAGGGATCTACTTCTTGCCCGCGCG